TATACAGAAAGATACCCACTCCTTCATGACTCTATTCATAACAGGCCAACAAAATCGTTACAGTATGAGCTTGATAGTTGTTCTAATACCTGCACAAGAAAGCCTGAGCAGAGTACTGAAGCCGTTGAGCCGATAATCTTTCGGTACGATTGGACAATTCATACCTGTAGATTTGTCATATAGAAAAGTTTCGTGACCTGTTATCATCTGTTTAGTACATAGTTTCATGGCTTTTGAAGATAACTCATGCTAAAGATCAGTGTCTTCATTTTGAGGCTGGAAATGTTTAAGAAGTTTGATTCCTTGGAACTTTTCAAGGACTTCATACCAGACAAGACGTCTGCAACTACATTGTTTGCCTCGGAGATGTGGTATACATATGAGGTGACCTGAGGAATATATTAGAGTTGTCGAGAACCTAAAGAGTACTTGTCTGAAGACGAGCTTGGGGAGATGAGAGATTTGTGGTCAGTAAATGGAGTGAATTCTTGACCTTCCATAAGATATCGAAGGTTCCGTACAGCACAATTTATGGCTAGGAGTTCTCTACCGAATGTACTGTACCTCGATTCGGCGTATTGCAGCCGTCTCGAGAAGAATTTCAGAGGCGATCAGTTGTTATCTACCAATTTTTGCCCTGGCGTGAGAGCATATTTGTTTTTGCGATAAGTTCCTTAACTGTGAAGAATCTTTCTCTGAATCGTAGTCCGAATTGATAAGTTATGCATTTCTATGATGTTGGTCTGTTACGGGTCTCATGAGAGACGTGCAATTCAGCATAAACAGTCAATAAGAAATACCAGACCGCGAAACGTACATATTTGCTTGACTAGTTGATTTTGGGCATTCATGAACGGCCGCCATTTCGCTTTTCAGAGGGCAGATGCCTTGAGCATCAATAGTGTGTCCGAGAATATCTAGAATATTTAGACCAATTATGAATAAAACGGACCCCATATGTTATTAATATGAATATAATCAAATGATAGAACACATGGTTTACCCTTTCCCATTATTTATTGATTATTAGTTATGCCTTTATGCTCCTACTCCTCGCTTTCAGATTCCGAATCTCTTTAACGGTTAAAATTGTGTTGTTCTTCGTAAATGTCATGTCATTTTTTTCAATTACAAGTAGACAGATAACTCACTAGTCTCGTGGAAGCTGATCAACTATGGCCGGTTATAAGGGGCTAATAGTGTCCTAAATCTTGTGAGTCATTCAATGTTTTGTTTTCTTGCTCCGAAAATACTCAAATTATAAACTCTTGCATATTCCTTGATTCGCTATCTATCCTTACAACCTCTAAACCACATATAACTTTTACCATTAGTTATCTTCATAGCAGTGAGATATACTAAATCGACATCTAACACACAATACAGAAACTTCAGCCATTTGACTTGCTCGTAACATGGAACTAGTAGAGACAGTGTATTCCAACAAGGAGCTAAGATTAAATAAATATTCGTACGCATCGTAAACATAAGAAGCCATAACATCACAAAAAAGGGAACGTGGTGTTACCGATCAGCAAACATGGTGGTGGGGAAATAACTTCGATTCACCCATGTAAATAGGGCACAGCATTTTGTTAATTTACGGCTTTTTATGGTCATGTAAGATGTCACGAACCGCTGTTGTTGATGCTAATTTGTTATAAAAAGTACCTCTTTAAATCCCGTTTGTAACGTTGAACTGGTTTCACTTGCTACCAAGTAATGTAGAATCAAAACTACGGTTTGGACTGCTGAATAGCCTTCCAGGTACGTTAGACACGCGCTCTTGCCCGTCAAAATCAAAACAAGTAATCGGGTAAATAGCGGTTGTATAATTTATCATAAATTTAAATGTAAATCGTTACCTAAACAAATATTACCACCCGGCTATTCAACCAATAATTGTTCAATCAATCAAATCTAAATTACAATAAATAAAGAAGTTGTCAAAAGATGCTGAAAAATTACCAATCACAACAAATGAACGCTATTCTATCCTGACTGGATAGAACACACACAAAAGAAGGAGCAAATCAATATGGCTGCCGCCAAGAACAAGTGTCAAGTAAAACAACACAGATGCAGTTCGGGAAGAAACACAAAAACTTAGTGAAGGCGTGAGAAAAACAAAACCTATAATAAAAAATACAAATATTAACAATTCAAATGTAATAAAAAAACTAACAATGTACAACTAAGGGGATCAATAGGAACAAAGTACAAGTATATACATGGAGGGATTTTCACACACACAAAACATTCAAAACAGATCTTACAAGTAATCCTATTACAAGCAATACTAGACAATTCACTAAGAACGAAGCCTGCTCATGACCCTATAAAATCAATAAAAAATGGACTGAAATAGCTTCGACAAAAAAATGAGATAGCCATTTGTGTATCAGAATACTATTTTCAGTACAATATTATAGAACTCCATACAATCCTATGTTTCCAGCTTTTTTTGAACCACCTCAATTTATTTAGTTCTTTGTCCGTCCACACCATATTTATTGCAGTTTTCTTTAACCTACTGGAATGCTCTTGCTTGAAAAACACCTTAGTAATAAAAAATTAGACAGAGTAGTTATGTTATCACCATTTCACCGTAAAGGACTCAATATCAATGTAAGATCTATTTCGAATGTTTTGTGTGTGAAGATCCCTCCATGTATACATTTGCAGTTTGTTCCTATTGATTTCTTTAGTTGTACATTTTTTTAGTCTTTTCGATCCCATTTGAGTTGGTAATATTTGTATTTTATTACAGTTTTTATTTTTCTTACACCTTCATGTTTCTTCGTGAACTGCATTTATGTCGTTTCACTTGATACTTAGTCTTGGTGGCAGCCATATTGGTTTGTTCCTCCTTTTAATTATGTTCCTTGTATTGACTGGAACTATGCATATTGACTGTGAATCTATTATTATTTGAACGAATCTGTGCATGATCTATCTAGATAGGATAGAATAACATTTATTTGTTGTGATTGTAATTTGGATCTGATTAGTTGAACAATTATTGGTTGGATAGCCGGGTGGTCATGTTTGTTTAGCTAACAATGTACATTTAAATGAATTTTAGAACCGTCATTTTCTTAATTACTTTGTTTTGGTTCCAAACGGGCAAGGGCGCGTATCTAACCCACCTGGACAGCTATTCTTTAGTCCAAGGCTTAGTTTAGATCTTACAATCAATATGCATGAACATTGCATGCTTTGCTTCTCGTCCTTTATTTCTGATACCCTCTTTTTCAGCCCTCTTAAGACATGCCACTGATAACGCATATGGAACGGGCGACTTCGCCCTGCGACATCATTAATGCCTCAGCTGTTTCACAGGTATATGAGATCACAGTTTATAGAAGATCTCAAATTTAATTGGATTTGCTTCCAAATATCAGCTGCATGTCGCAATTCCACCTCCATAAAGCGCGCCAACTGTCATATTGACGATACGGATCTTACTAATTTTATTTGCATCAATATTTGAGAAGTATTATCCCCCATACTTTTATGATCAGTGCACCTCATAAAATACCAAACTAACTGAGTAACCCACCACAGTGAGGATTGTATTTTCTGTAAAAATTTGATCTTGCCTGTAAACTGGAATGTCTCATATAACAGACTGTTATTTGAGAATAAATTATTATTAGTAAATCCTTCCATGGTCAAGCAATAACAAGATCAAACAAGTCTCTCGACTTAATAAACCATACCTAATTTACCAGACTAACCAGAACAATATTTGGAATCCTTCTCTTATTCTCCTTCTTAAGTTAAAGTGCTAACACAAATGTAGTTGACAATCATCAAATATGAATAGGACCCCATCCAAAACATAAACTGACTTCTGACCTTAAACCAAAGAATACTTTATATTTAACATTTTCGACGCACTGACTGGTTTGTCACTTGACGTTTATTAGTCTAGGCGCAAAGTGTATTACTTAGACATCAAACTCTTAGCCACCTATTATTGCTATGGAACTGGTGAGAATCAAAAATGTATTTATAGATGTCAGTGTTTGCCATAAATTTATTATAATTCGGCCAATATGCAAGGAGGTAAGTTATGCTACCGTCCAGCCGTAGCATGCCACGTTGATATTCTAGAAAGCTCCGTCAGGTTCTGATTGAGTCAAAACCCTTTGACTCCTTCAGTGCTACTGAAGGCTCCGTCGTGGTTCTCGAAAACCTTCCAAATACCTCCCCGGAATAAGGTCTTCTCATTAGGTCCACTTGAAACCCGAGAACTGGCCTGCGGCGGGTCCCATTTTTCGTTGTCTTCCTTGTCCAAACATTCAATCTTATGTCCCTTCCGATATCCTTGGACGTATGTGTCGTTGACGTATATGTAACTATAATGGAAGATTAACCTGGTTGTTTCCAGAGTGCATCATTTTTTATCCTTGCGGATTTGGCTCGTGTCTCTCATGCATATCTCGAAAGCTCCTCAAAATCCAGATAAAACTCTTCCCAATCTTTGAGCAGTTATCCCTGATTCCCATCGATTCCTTCCGAGAAGTGACCTCTCCTTAAATAACTTGAGGATTTTCTGGTAGGTCGCAGACAGAAAGTAAGAACAAATTCCAAGTGTTCTGTCTTGAAGCCAGCACTTAAAGGAGTACCGCAAGGCTCTGTCCTAAGTCCTTTACTTTCTATCCTGTGTGTGAATGAAGTATAGTTGGGTCCCCAATGCTACTTTATGCTGATGGTGTGAAAATCTGGTGAGAAACGACAGAAGGTGCAGATGCGCGAGCGCTCCAAGCAGATCAAGATATTCAGCTGTGCAATTCCAGAACTCCGAAGTTCACCATACAAAGAGCGGCTTGAGAAGCCAGACCTTTTTACTCTGTTCTACCTCAGATTGGGTGGTTTGATTTTGATGTATAGAATACTAAAAAGGATTTTGTACCTGATATGTCCTCAGAGGACATAGTAGGCGAGTAGAAAAGTCAAGGACGAACAAAGTACCAGTGGCATACAAGTTGTCATACCGAGTAATCATTTCCTGATACCTGTTATCCGAACCTATTGTGTCCGCACTTTCAACTGATTCATTCAAAAAAGCCTAGGTACTCATATTGACTTCCTAGAAAAGGACTAACATAAGCCGTAGGCCTTCTGCCTTCATTATACAAATCTGATTCTGAAGGTCACCTATAATTCAGATTCTCAAGGACAAACCTGATGACTATTTGGGCGTGCAGCTTACGCAAGTTCCTCTTGATCGGGAGAAACGTTCTACTTTGTTCCGTTGTTTCCAGATACAAGCGATTCATTTCGAATTTAGCTTATCCTCCATCTTCGGGGTTGATAAAGCTCCCGTTGTTTGCTCTGGCATTCCCTACTATTCAGCTCAAAACGATTGGCTTGGACCTTAAAGACTTCAAAAACCCTGATATATTCGAATGCATTCTATCTATGAACAGCAAGTCTCTCTCTAGGTTTACTTGATTTTCGTTAATAATTTTCTACAGCATTTTGAAGGGTAGTAAGGAGGCTGTAAAAGATAGACATTCTTTAGGATGGACTCCACTAATGCTTGCAGTGGTTACCAGGAATTACGAGTAGTTTTTTCTCATTATCGTTTAATGAACTGAAGGGCAGTGAAAGAATTGTTGAAGTCTGGCTCAAATCCTAATGACGTTGACTATTATGCTGGTATCGTAAGAACTGCACATGATTTGAGAATGATGTCTTCGGAAGGTAATTTGTCTGTGCTTCTCAATTACGCTTAGTTGAGTGGATACGGCTTACACAGTTTAGTGACTTTCTGAATCCATCGGCTGATTTTCGTGGTTGTTCTGCACTTCACTATGCTGTGTTAATAAATGACTCCAAATTGGTTCGTTTATTGCTGGAATTTGGTAAGTTGTCCTGTTCTTTTTTCATTTAGTACTATAAAATCACCTCACTTGACTGTGTCAATGAACGCAGGACAGTACGCGTATCGATGATAAAATGTATAATACAGATTAGACTAGGATGGTGGGAGCTTACACCAAACCAATTACTCCGTGATGACTACACAAAATTTTGCAAATTGCTTCTGCGTTAAACCTCACCAGTCCTATGTAAAATCTTTAAAACTTAATATTTAAACAACATCAAAAAGACGTGTGTAGTAAATATCAACAAATCATTGAGTGTATTAGCTTTAGATCATAGTTCTTCTAACTTCATATACTTACATATTTCAGTCCCCTGCTTCAGTTTGGGCGCCTGGGCAGTATTCCGGCCCTCACGCAAATCGATTGATAAAGTGTGGTGCATATATATTTGATGCCGCCTTGTACCAATGTTTCTGTGTTTAAATAAATAAACAAATGTGTTAGTTCGGCAATGATTTTGGCCGTTAAGGGTAGAAGACACCCGTAAGCTACTAATATTTGACCACAGATGCCTTGAAAATATTGCTGGCGTCTGTTGGGATTACCGGGTAAGCAATAGTGAGGTTAAACGCAGGGTATTAGGTTATGATGTTAAATCAGTTGATGAGGTTGTTAATCTTCATCAACTGAGATGGTTAGGACACGTGTTACGTATGCCTGAACACCGATTACCACGTCGTGAATGCTAACGGGTGTTAGAGATGATTGGAAGAAAATTAGGGGCGACCAAACCAAAACGTGGCATCAGTGCTTGAAGACACTAACCTCTAGTCTGAGCCATGTTGGTAGATGCAGACTACTTGGTTGGGGTCCGCGTGACTTTCGTAACCGATGGTTGGAGACTCTTAATGACATGGCTCAGAATCGATCACAATGGTGTCGGTGTATACACTCCCTGTCTTCCCTTAAACTAAGAGATTAAAATCGTTTCATATCTTTCTTTCTACGAAGTAATTCTCTCTTCCTGTACTGTATCCTTATATGCGATCTTTCTCCTATATATTACCACCTTTGACCTAACCACTCCTATGAATCCGGTGTTCATCTTGCTGTGCTAATGAGGTATGGCAACCTGGACCGATGCATATATGTGCATGGTCCTATGTTGTAGCTGACTGACTGGTTTTGGGTATGTTCAAAGCAAATGCCTTAGAGGTACATTCTTAAGTTATTTGGAGTAAAAAAACGTGATTAAAACCTAAAAATCAGAATTTTATGTCTTTAAGTCAAATGCAAAGAGATTCGTTCTATAAAAATATATTTCCAAGAATTATAATAAGGAAATAAACTACCTAAAATTAGATCATTGACATTGAAATAATCCAGGGTTTCACAACTTGTCCTTCAGCTCCGGTTTAGCACAATCACTACTGACTTCACTTTGAAGACATTATTTATCTGGCCATTTGGTCTTCGAATTTCTACAATTCCACATAGTCTGTCGGAAACGTAACTCAGCGACTCAGTGCATTATTCTATACTTGGTTTCGAGCCACATTTATTTTGTTGGGGCCGATAAATCTACTTGAATTTCTTAACCAGAACAGATAGGGTGGGATTATTCGAAAATCCACTTGTTCAGATCCTAGTGCCTACATAACTAAGTCGCAGCTGAACAAATATTGAGGTTTTCTAACTCGAAACGATTACATCATTTCGGAGCGCTACTTAATTTTGTGGAAGTACTTATTCCGTCTAGTCATCCAGTGTAAGGTATGTAGATTACTAAAATGTCAACTAATGTTTTAACAAGAACTTGGACGAAGCAGCTGTTATCATTGTATTTTTGATGGGCACTAAGTATCAAAGCCTAACATCAAACATTATTCACCGTTCATTTCTTCATAGATCATTCATCTAGAGAATTGTTCGCCTCCCAAATATTCCGAAACGGTTTCATTCGTAATCCCGTTTTATTAGCTAGAGAGCTCTGGTTACTTTTGATGTCGAATCTTATGACACGTATCCTTCTAAATAACAGGGTGTTTGCCTTTAAGTTTACTGTTCCCGTTTATCATCTTAGGTGAATATTTGTCGGTTATTCGAAGCGTTGTTGTGATATGCTGCCTTTAGTTACTTCCAGCTAAGGTTTTGTGTTATCTAGATTTTTCACGTTATTCAGATGCTTAATATTCTTTGTGTTCACTGTGTGAATCCTCACAATGCTACCATCTTAAGTTAATAGGTGAGTTCTGACAATACTTAGACGATGTGACCATGTGACAAGACACAATTTTGATTTCACGTTCCTAATTTACTGTCATTTTAATGTCTATAGGGGCTGATCCGACTATAGTGAACGAACGTGGTCACCGTCCAGCTATGTACGCTAAAGACTCCTCTATCAGGGATTTACTAGCTGAGGCTGAGTCGAAGGTATGTTTTCATGATCGTATGCTCTGTCGTAATATCACTTACATTTCTCAACGGGAGAAACCAACTAGTATGAGATTGTAATTTCCAGTAAAATGGGTTAAGATACTACGCTATATAACTGCTGTGTCAATCTGAGTGAAAACAAACCAGTCTCAAATCGCTAACTTCCTTTTTTAAATAGTTGTAACTTGGAATATACATGTTCAATTATTGTTTTAAACCTTACTCAGATCTACATGAAGTAAAAGATAAGTCAAATATTACGGAACCTAATTAATTTTCACACCCAAATTAAATAAGTTTTTTTAGTCAGAATTATGTGATATATTTGCGCAATACATTTCGAACAATCTGATCACATATTTTCTTAACAAGTATATGTGTAATCGGATTGTTCGAAATGTATTGCGTAAATAAGTTTTCACACATTTCTACTGGAGTCATTCAAAGGTAAGCAACTTAGTACTATGTTCAGTTTGAACTGCCATATTCTTTTTGAATATACGAAATTAACAAAGTCGAACTAAAGTAAGTGGAATCAATAATTCAAATCATAGTAGTGAATTATGACTGACTGTAGTCGAAGAATAGAAGTTCTGGGACGAAACTTGGAAAATAAGGGTGGAAGGAAAGTAAACATATCTGCACTTTGAATCGCGCTTAAAGGTCTCCAACCATAGACTATCTCACGGACCCTGGACGCAAATTATTCGCTTCCTAATAGAGTTTAGGACGGCGATCAGTTTCCCATCCACTTATGCTATGTGTTTATATGAGTGTTAGTAGTCTCTCTACAAACAGTCATCAATATCTGAACATGGGTGACACATATCTCAACCGTCGCCCTCCTAAATTAAACTGGATTGAAGAAACCTTGTCATTGAATTTAATGTCTGTGTTTGCATCAACGAAAAATATGCGACTTTTTTGTGAGGAACAACCGACTTCTGAGTTAGTTATACTGAAAGCTCTCAACCAAAACTCGCCTTCAAGATATTTTGTGTGTATAAAAGTATGAGCACGCGTAAATTAAATCTATCCTAGTATTTCAAACTTCTACCGTAGATTTCACTAATATGATAACTGTTGCCTTCCTACCGTTCGAGCTTAAACTCAAAAATTATGGTTTTATGTTCGTTCGAAGCTTCGAAAAATATTTTTTTTGGAGACATGGGGTTCAGAGGGTTTTATACTAATCTTATAAGTCCACAACTTTGTTATGACAGACTGTGAGTGCCAGTGTATGCGTGATCCACGATCACTGTGATAACTGGTCAGTTTCCTGTACCTTGGTGGTGATGGTCACTGGAATGCTCCAAATTATCTATGTCGGTAGCGGTAAAAGGTTTGGTATCAACTAGATAATTTCTGAGATGGGTAATGCACCTAATGACAACCTTAACAGATATTCGAAACTCTTGAAGAGGCAGGTCAAGCTATTTGGAACAAGTTTTCCTTGCTTCATGGCTGATATATATCAGCCAACTTGATGGATTAAATACTTATTAGTAATTACAATAAATATGTTACCAAAAAAGATTTGATTTGAACACTACTCCATGATCTTTACAAGGCTTGAGGGAACGTTTTAGATAGTTGTAGAGTTAATGTATCTTCATTTAAAAAGCATTCAAAATGGAATCGAAGTTTCAATCAGCATTTAAAGTTGCCATTGCAGTCTGAAAGCTCTTTAATGCAAACGATTCGAGAAAGTTTGCAAAGTTATCAAGTATACTTAATATTACTACTATATTATAATGCATAGCTTCATGATCACTTTTGTTTATATAATCTTAATTTAAATGGGAAGTCAGTAAAATATTGGATACCAACGCAATGGGGAGATTATATAGAGTGCATAAAAATGCATAGCAAGAGGTGTCGGAGTGTATCAGTATGTAGATATATAGATGTCTTCAACATTCTTTAGACCCTCATACAATATTGTACTTATTTCTGTCCAACATTCAGTGTGTTTCCTAACAGGAGACCTACTTTTAATTCGTTAAACACGACTGTTCTTTAACTGAGAGGGGTGCTTGTGAATTCTGTCGGTACCTTAAAAGCTCTACAAACCGACATAGATAGGTGTCATAGATATTTAACACCACTGAGGTTTAGAACGCGTTCATAATATTGGGAGGGATATATTCTTACATCCACTCCTTCCTAGTAATGAACGACCTAAATAATTGAGAAGTTTATATCCTTTGAGAACATCGTGACATTATTATAGCTGTTAAACGTTGGGTTTATAATGCATTAGCACAGGTCTTACGCTTGTTAAACTGATTCTCAAGGTTAAATATGTTTAACAACCTTCTGTTGCTGGTTATCGTTGTTTCCAGAAAATTCCTCAGATCTAATCACAGCAATAAATAATCCTGAGATCTGTTCATGCTTAAATGTACTAGAGGGTCATTATTCGATTGATGATATCAACTTGAAATATCAGCTAAGGTGACTTAAATACGTTTAACCCATCATGTGTTAGTGGTTGTCATACTAAGGATCGTTTGCTTCTGCTGCATTCGCTACGATGTTTTATATTTGTATCTCACAATATGAAAAGCAAACCATAGCTTCTGGGTTAAATAATATGAACACATATTTTATTTTATCTTAAGCGTTTTAAGTATTCACTCCCTATAATAATCGGCTTTTGTAGAAGGCAGAAGAAGTGGCTGCCAAAGAGCGAGAGGAAAGACGCCTTCAACCACTAGAAAATCGTTTACGTAAAGTAATTGTTGGTCAAGAAGCTGCTATTCGCACTGTTAGTGCAGGTTGGTTTATTATACACCTTTCTGTTTTCGTCATTTGTATTACTGTTTTAATGAACGAAGACTTAGGTTTGGCAAACCAGTTTATTATTTCTTGCAAAATTACACAGTTTTTTGGTAGAATATGAAAACCATACACTGAATACATTATTTGCACATTTTCCTTCGGTTCTTCTTTACATGCTTCATGATTCCTCCAATTCTTTTATTATCACAATTATTCTGTTTCCCTTTTTCTTCTCTTCAATTCAATCTTCTGTTAACAGGCATCCTACTTCTGATTGCTGCTACATATCTGTCAGTGTAAGTAGAATACACTACACCATAATACTTTTAAATACTTTTTGTCATGCTTCTCTAAGTTATTCTATAAGTTTTCGTTAAACCTGTGATTGAAAAAGTTGTTTACAAAATCCTGGTATATTATTACTTATTTTATTACAGTAAGCTCAAATCTGAGGTCTTCTGTCTTTTGATAACTTTAAAAAATTATCTCGTAGATTCTAGTATAGTAAAGAAAAACACTAGATTTTCCCTCTTACTATGATAGGGATCTGTACTGTTTACGCTGATAGGTGCTAATTAATTCTCCCTTTTGCACATCAACAATCATTCTGTACTCATTAACAAAATGAGAACGAGAGTTGTTATGGTAGCAGATATGTATCCATACAATCAGTGATTCACGCAGCCAGAGAAGCACCCACTATAGCTGATCCTATATATATGACAGTCCAGTATTATTCTGTTTAATAAATACAAAAAATATAATTGTGGTTTACTTGGGTATCAAATACGTATCTAGTATTTTACAATTTCTTGATCTGTGCCACTGAGTTCCATACTAATCATTCACGTTAATATTCGGTTGTATTACTTAGTGGAATGGACCATAATAGTGGTACATGTATGATGACTTTTACACACTGCAATTTCAAATCAATTTATTCTATATTTTATGAAATATTTAGGGTTTTTGTATTCCCTAAGGCTGATTAATAATTTATTTCATTGTATTTGGTTGGAAAAATTCCTAGTTATTGGTAGATTTTCAAAACCATTGTTGTTTCAGTCCTCTTGAAGATATATGTTGCGACCAAATGATAGGTATGCAAACATAACTTATATGGAGCGAAATAATTCCTTTGCTTGCTCCATAAATGAATACTTACAACATACTTCTACATAGTGGTGACAACGTTTAATTGTATCGTTTGATTTCGGGTTTGGGATCATAAAATAATCGTGGTTTGAAAAAACTGAATCTCTTATCTTTTGACACTCTTTAGACAAAAGGTGGCTTGTTCTAATCACAATTCTTCCAGCTCTCTTGATCAACAAGAATAAAGTATTATTTTGGCTGGTTCTCCTTTCATAATAATGGATTTCATGCTTTACACTACCTACCAGATGTTTTTATCAAAAATAGTGCTCCAAAAGCACTGGAAGTTGTACGAAGATTTTTTAGTATATTACTGGTCATTTTACAATTGTTTACTATTGAGACATTTATTAAGAATCTAAGGTGCAGCATATTGACACGAAGTAGTATAACTGAGAGAATTGGTGTTGTTTTTAAAAGTGAGTTTTCATTTGTGTTAACTGATGTGATGTAGTCACGTGATGACTATTAATCAAAACCGAAATTGATAACTGCTATAACGCGGCAAATATTAAGTAAAGTGGAACCTTCAGAACTGTTCTAGCTAAAGTTATTATTTGTATTTTTGTTGTATAATTACTGAATATCGGTCGAGTGAGCGTGGAAGAACTGTGTTCTAGACCAATAGTTTTTAGATGTTATTTTCGTCTGCCATCTCACTACCATCGTATAATTGTTACTATATAAACGATCAAGGCAGAATGATCAATACCCGTACTAAACCATGCTACTGATCTCTCATGATTATAACTCGATCGTGCGGACTCCAGTACAATCCACAGAAATCGGTCTATATATTTCTTTTGGTCGTATTAACAACATAAAACTTCCGAATAAACAAATATGAAAAATCCAAATCCGATGACCAGCAAAATTTATTATTAGCAAACAGCACTATTTTGTCCAGAACGTTTGATACTAAGTTGTGTATGGTTAAAAACCATTTAGAATGTGAATAATTGCTAAATATATGTCTGTAGATCGATAATCAGTGTATCGAATTCCTAACAAAGTGGTCTAACCTTATGTTGAATAAATCAAAAGCAAATCAGATTTATTCTGTATCACTGATCAGTTAGCCTACTGTTGGGACTTTTAAGACGACATGAATATCGTGAGTTGCTCCATTGATCTAAGGTAAAGAAAGTCCAAATAGTTCAAAAATAAGCTACATGTTATTGAAATGTTAAAGACGGTGAGCATTCTAGTATTTTGTTAATTAGTTGGGAAGTTTTAAAAGCTTGTTAGTTATAATATTAGAGATATGTAGTCCCCCATAATCTTGAATTCGCGATGTTTTTTGAATCAGCGAATCTTCATAATTTTTGAAGCTATAAAGCCATTGCGATTTATGATGCATAGAAAAATAATTTATTTTAACAGTTGAATTCACGAGTCGATCTAAGCTAGACCACCATTAAAAACCTGGAAGTAGTGGGCGGCTTAGATCGATTCGTGAATTCAACCGTTAAAATACTACAATCTTCACGAATCCCCATAATGCAAATAATTTATTAATAAACATTTTTGTGGTTACAGGACTTTTGAGGAATGTTTCTAAATAATATTTTAGGCATATAAAAACACTTCCTTTTAAATGTAACGTAGTGTAAAATATCATATTTATATGTCATGTCTAAAGTAATTTAGAATTGTACATATTTAGTTACTATTTTGTACTTCCTAATTAAGTAGATACATTCCGTAGTCATTTACTTTGGGTTAACAATACTTAGCTACTGTAGATAAAAGTAGTAGTACAAAAAAAACTTCAATATTTTCATGCATAGTTAAAATGGTTGTATATTTGAACCCTGTAGTCGACTTTGAGCTTCAGTTTTTGTGCATGCGTTGATGACGCTAAAAAACTACCGGAGGTAAATGAAGCGAACCGAATTTCGAACCTGTGACTCACTGGTTAAGATTCTGCTGTTTTAAATCGTGATTTACTAGCGTTCACGTAGTTATGGTATTTTTTGAGTTGAAATGTCAATATTTCCATTAATTTACAAACTCCTATTTTAGTTTGATATTCCATCTATGGATTTTTATTGTATGAATCTCTGTGATAGATTGTCAGATGTATGAACTTCAGGTTGAAAGTCGCGTTGCTATACTCTCAGTATTACTATTTAAATCAAGTGTTTTCAGCGCTGTTTATCTCTTTAAAAGTTTAGATGACTTCGTTAGAAAATCTTGTGTAACTTTGTAAGGAAAATTGTGGAAGAAAATGATTTTGTAATTTACTTGTCACATGCATTATGTATACATGAACTAGGAATTATATAATATTGTGACCTATTAGCCAAATTAGTCAGTGTGTGTAATTTCATTAAATCAACGTATGGGTCATTTTAATGATGTGTTGCTCATTATTTAGTTAGCCTAGAATAAATCATAAGCACATTTTATGTATATCTCGTATATACAGGATTATGTAAAATAACTGCTTGTGACATGAGTCGGTTTGAAATTTTTCGAAATTCCATAAATTAACTTATCATAATTCAAATGTAAAGTGGTTGTTTTAAAATATATTTTCAACATTTTTTTCCGCTTATTTTTTTTCATTTAGCTATAAGACGTAAAGAAAATGGTTGGTATGATGAAGATCATCCACTTGTATTTCTGTTTCTCGGTTCATCCGGTATAGGCAAAACGGAGTTGGCTAAACAAGTAGCAGCATACTTACATAAAGACATTAAAAAGGGCTTTATACGTATTGATATGTCGGAATACCAAGAAAAACATGAAGTATGTATTTTCCAAGTTCTTTGTTAAAATAGCTTACTAGCTCGTGTACCTGATACATATTTGTGTACTTAGTTTTAAGCGTGAGGACAACAGACACTACCTAGGTCCCCAAACGGAAGTAGATGAAGTGGTGTCTCAAAGTCGAAAGGCTTAACCACTGAGGCACGTCTTAACTTCCTAGGTTTTAGTTATATATACATATACTGCGGCATATGCTACTTATATCGATAGATATAAGTAGTATGTAGCACAAATTGGAAGTGAAATTCACGACTGCAGAAGATTGTTAAGATTTTTTGAAGAAAACAGAAAGTAATTGTAATAACAACGGGATTGAAAGAGTCATAAAATATGTTAAGGGAGATGTGCAAATTATGTATTTGATCTATGGTTTTCATATTTTACGAAAGCACTCTGTAATTTTTTATTAAATAATAAACTGGTTTTCCCCACCAAGGCTTTCTTCACTACAATACCATTGGTTTCAATATAAAAATTCTTAAGAAATAAGTGAACTAAACAAGTAAACCACCAAACTTGGGTTGTGCTGCAAAATAATCAAGAATATTCCTTCGAAGTATTTCAACGGTTTCGTGTATCGTTATTGTATCTTTATTATTTAAACGCACAGCTTAAATAATTGTATAACTAAAATGCAAAATCAAAATGTCATAATTTATAAATCTCAATAAGTTCATGACACGAACATTATCCAGCATACGCATTACGACCTATTTAGGACTTGTCAGCTGAATATATCTTCATCTCAATGTCACTCTGCAAACTGAAACTCGAACTTGGCATCTATCGTTTTAAACGTCAACTTTTGATTCCCTAAGTTAATAGAGTTAAGATAGCCATGAACTCATTCAACAAGTATTATAAAAACTCATTGGAAACATATCAATTTATTCATCAAAGAATAAACGAGCGCTTGTCATAGTCTCCTTTGTTCTCTTCACCCTAGCATCATTTGTGTTTTTTCTTTATTTTTAGACACCCCGTTAATTTGACAACATACAAATTGACCGAAATCTATTTCAAATTAATGTAATTCCTCACACCTTATAGTGTTTCTGCATCCCGATACCTTTCCATTTACATAATAATACGTGTAATATGTATCAATAATGATTCCCATATTTGTGTCACTCTGTTGATATAGGCTAATAACTTAATTGAATTAATAGTTAATTAATTAAATATAGATTGCAGTTAATCAATCGATAATATTCTGTCAGCTCTGTGCTACTCTGTTACATGATGCCCTAAGATTTTGGCAAACTACTCAATACCACCGTCATTTCGTTAAGATTATCGTAGAGATTGAACACCATTTTATTAGCAGCTATATAGACTTTGAGTTTTGTGCATTTCTGATATTCGTCTGTTGAGATGCTGTGGAACTAAAGGGTGGCAGAGTATGATTCTGCTATGTTCTACCGTCCTTTTCGATTAACAATTCACGTTTCATGACGTTTGGGAAACCAGCTATGAAGAGTAAAAAAATTAATTGTACACAAGAACATTTACTACGGAAGGCCGAATAAGTAATAATACTACTAGACTGGCTTATAAACCGATATGTGGCCAGCGACCTTGAGCAGAGGAATAACTCATCAAAATTATGTTACCTACATTTGCACTTCACAATTACCTTGTATTCTCTTCTCAACAACACATGATCTGTTTGGTTTCCTGAAATATCATCTCTCAAAAATTCTTATTTTTTGTCTTCATATGTGCGTTAGTGAGTGGATATATAAGTTTTTTCCTCTATCTTTTTCAGTCTCTGTATTACATTGTGCATATGATTAGTTTAAAATTTTCCATTATTATTTTATAGGTGTCCAAATTCATCGGATCACCACCGGGTTATGTTGGTCATGAAGAAGGTGGTCAGCTTACACGAGCTTTAGCTGCTTGTCCTAATGCAGTTGTTTTGTTTGATGAAACAGAGAAAGCTCATCCAGATGTTTTGACAGCTTTGTTACAGTTATTTGATGAAGTAGGTCACATTTAATCTATACAATTTTATAATGTATGTTTTATTGATAAACTCAGATTGAAAATATTATACTTATAAGTATTTCGTAAGTTAAATGTTGAACTAATAGACAGAAGTGAAAGTTCGTTAGTAACTAAGTAATCCCTATTATTGTAATTCATAGCTTTTTCTATATCTAACTTTTTTTGTAGATAAAACTAACAAGTTTTAAATCTTTAATATGAAATCACATACTCATTCAATCGGTTAACAATTTTATTTTTCAAAACTCATCCAGTTAGGATTCGAGGAATTGGTTCTGTGAATACAATTATAATTTAAATCATAACATTTATTCTATTAATTTTATCAACTAATTGATTTATCATAACAGGCTGGTACATCAAACCTTGTAAAGGCTAAATATAAAATTATATTCTAATAATGAAATTTGGAAAAGTATAGATAAATATAACATTTTGTTTGCTCGACGGATTTTTAGAGCTGCTCTAATAGGTGTAGACTACCTTGTAGGGGTGCGTGTAATTATCGTAACCAAAGACTAGAGACCTTAAGTGATATGGCTCGAAATCGTTTGCAGTGGTCCACGTGGATCCTTTCTATGTCTTCCCCCAACTTCTGAGCTTTTGAATCCTTCATAGCTTTTTTTGTAATGATTTCATCAATTTATATTTTCTTGAATCATATCTTCGATGTCCAGAATTCCCAACCACCACTCATACTGCTACTACTGTACTGAACAAGAACACGGGTGGGGACAGTCGAATGTATTTAACACAAAAGTTACGGAGCATCTCAATAAAATCCGAGAACTGTATATTAAATCGTTAATTCGCAAAATGTCCACCAATTGTCTCAAAATGCCTCAGACTTCATTGTTCTTACATTTTCATACAAATTGCATTCTGATTGAGATCATGAACCGAATAATGTTAGACCATCACAATTGAAAACCTGGAAGCACTGGACGGCCGTTTCGTCCTATTGTGGGACTCCTCAGCAGTGCGCATCCACGATCCCGCGAGCGGGATTCGAACCCAGGGCCTTCGGTCTCGCGCGCGAACGCCTAACCAACTGGACCACTGAGCCGGCATCCAATGGTGATAGTTTCTAACATCAACCAATCCACGAAATTGCGCGACCAACTTCCATTGTACTGAGGTAGATACCTGTCTCTACCCGACAAGGATTAGCTCCACTGATCACGGCTTCTCACTAGAACTCCGAGAATTCCCTGCTGAGGAGTCCCACAATAGGACGAAACGGCCGTCCAGTGCTTCCAGGTTTTCAATTGTGATGGTCTAACATTAATCGGTTCATGATCTCAATCAAAAACTTAATAATCTCCACAACCCCTATACTAGTAATTAACATGTGCTCACTAGTGACTAGCTTCGTGAGGGAATTCTCGGAGTTCTAGTGAAAAGCCGTGATCAGTGGAGCTAATCCTTGTCGGGTAGAGACAGGTATCTACCTCAGTACAATGGAAGTTGGTCGCGCAATTTCGTGGATTGGTTGATGTTAGAAACTATCACCATTGGATGCCGGCTCAGTGGTCCAGTTGGTTAAGCGTTCGCGCGCGAGACCGAAGGCCCTGGGTTCGAATCCCGCTCGCGGGATCGTGGATGCGCACTGCTGAGGAGTCCCACAATAGGACGAAACGGCCGTCCAGTGCTTCCAGATTTTCAATTGTGATGGTCTAACATTAATCGGTTCATGATCTCAATCAAAAACTTAATAATCTCCACAACCCCTACACTAGAAATTGCATTCTATTCCCGCTCCTGCTTTCTTGATCTTCCCTCATCTTCTGCTGCCGGACATTACATTTCTAACTCGCATAATATACTACTTAGATCAATATAAGTAGCACGCACCACACTACCTGTACTATTTTGCGATTTGGCCTGAAGATTTCAGCTCTCTGCGTTAATGAGGTATAGCAACTTGGACCAATAAACATACGCACCAGGTTGTACATTGTGACTGACTGATTTTCAAATAGGAAGTCATTCTATCTATATTCTTTGAAATTATTTGGTAAACTACAGCAATTTATCTAAATAAGAAATCTATTCCAGAAAACTCGCAGGGATTAGGAGAAAAAATCAAAGGAGATGGGCAGCTGATGACATGACACTATAGTATGAAGAAAAGCTGTGCAAGACTGGCAGCTTTTAATTCATCATAACTCCCTGATTAGGTGATGTGACCCACTGCCTTGAGACGTTGTCAGATATGGCTCATAATAGAAGCCAGTAACAATGCTGCTTTAGTTTTTTAAACACTTTTCATAGGGGTGCATGGAAGAAGTTTTCTTGATTGCATACTTAACCGTTCTGTATATCTTTTTGTATATTGTTGTCGTTTATGTATTTCAAGTCATCTCCCTTCAATAACTCTTCATAATTTGGTTTCTTTATTAGTATGGTACATACTTTATTTTGATGCCCAGCTGTTCCAGTATTAATATGTATTAAATAAACCAATAAATAAATCCTCAAAAACTGAAGAAAAAAAACTAACGAATGTAGCAAAGGTTTTCATTTAAATTTGTTGTGTCTTATGGACTGCAGATTAGATGCGCAGCGTCTTATCGATCGGATCAATGACACGTAAACACGTAAGAGACGACCTAGAGTCCCGATTGGCCCTGCTTCCCCGTCTAGCCCAACCAGTTGAGTCCAGAACACAAGTCTCAGCCTCTGAGATATGAATCATTGTATTTCAAACATACTCTGTTTATATACCAATCAGACAGACCACATCGTATCATAAAATAGAGAACAACATTTGTACAGTATTTAACAAGTGAAATACATATTGACTAATAGGGAATGTCCATTTAAAGTCCAAGGACACCATTAGACTTAACATGATAATTATTGGTATATTTTTCTGCATATCCTAACAAAATTAATTTAGATTCTTAAAATGATGTGGGTAGTTTCTTATTTTAAATATGACAATACCATGACTATGTGCATTTACCACATTATAGAAATTTATTTATTCACAACTTTATTGTTATGTAGCACAGACAATAAATAAATTTCATGTTTCAATTTTATTTACTGTCTATAGTGTCTTTGTCCATGTTTATGTATTTTTGTTCGTCAGCATGTAGCAGTATTAATTACGACCAAACGTTTATATTAAACTTTTCATATACACTTGTCGATATTTATTTATGTGCTGTATTATAGTTATGTTTTTATAAAATAATATTTTTTTTATCAATATCCAATCAAATCAATAAATAGTTAAAACAGTTTATTTGTATTTGTGTTCCATATTAAATGTGAATTTAATTTAGTAATAAACAATAAGTTTTTTTGTTTGTTTGAAGGTAACTGTTTATATCTGAGAATATATTAGAAACCATTTAATTAAAAAGTGAATATCATTGGAATAGTTTAGATTGTTCCACCTAATTATTATTCCATAAGCGAAATATTGATTTATCTTCATTGATGATCTCATTATTTTAGTTTTTTATGTTTGAAATCACGGATTCAAAGTCATGTGTAAATGCTAACTAGTGGACGTATATTAGAGAGAAAATAAATGAATTATATATATATATATATATATATATATATATATATATATATATCCTTCATGCAAAAATAGGCAGGTAACGTACGTGTGTATGCACCTGGAGTATAGTAGTAGTAGTTTCTCCAAATGCAAAGTATTTTTGTTCTCTTAAAGAATATAACCATTTGTTGTTTATATGTACTTTAAGTTTTATTGATTATCACGAGTTTGTTTCCACAAGAGATCTATCTATGTATATACAAATGAGAAATTCATTGTTTCAGTCATATGAATTCGTTACGAAACTTGAACGTTATGTTTATCATATGTTTCCCATTGCAAAATTTGTAATTTTATATACCATAACGTTATTTCATTGATTACATCATCATATAGATTAGCAGTTATCGTGAAATTTGATTATCAAACGTTGATTAAGTAAATCAATATATTTTCCCTTCTGCTGAAAGTACGTAAGTATACTTGGAAACATGTTTGCTGAAAATAGAGCAAAGAAGCCACAAAGAAACAAAACAAACATACTTCACACACTTGAATATCAGGTTGGATTATCATAACTATAGAAAAATTCCATAAAATACAAAATACCAAATAAATGTAAATATGATACACTAACAGTAACAAATGAACTGGAGAACAAGTAATAACAGATCATCAATATGAAATAAACCATCCATAGTAATAATGTGTTTGAAGTTTGTGGTGGTAAGACATTAAGTAAATATGTTTGGTTTTGTGACAATTTCCACTCCACGTCATGTTAACATACACGATCAAGAAGTTTTGTTGACTTATTAACTTTATGATATCTATATTTAATATCAGCGTACAGTTATTCAATGGCTCCGTCATGTGGGGCGGTAATTTAAAGATGTGTATATCAGTAACTCGAAGAAAGATCATTATTATTTAACAGAGATACATAAACACTTAAAGCTCTGTATTTTATTTTTGTTTCTACGATATGAATAAGAAATATAAAGGGAAATTGCTTCTCTAATCATTTTTACCGTTTTACTAGAATTCTAATGCATATCCAGTTAGTCAGTATATAAAGTGAAAAGTGTTAAGATTGGATTAATGATTTAAGGTAAAGAAACTAACTCATTTGAAGCACTTTATGGTCTCTATCAAATAATATTTTAAACTATAAGAATATACATCCTAAACATATAAACAATTTGTTGAGACTAGATAAATAAATCGAAATAAATTTGATTATTGCATTATGTAGTTGCATACATTCAACATGTAATTTGTAGGCATGTCTTAATTCATTGGGTGATATGGTGGTTGGTTTATGGATTTCATATTTACTCAGTTGTGTTTAACAGTTTGAAGTTCCCTTCACTTTATATAACAGATGTATTTTTAAAAGAATAAACTGGTTATAACTGTTATTTTAGCAGTTCCAGTGTGATAGTTTTCAAATAAAAAAGACCGTTATATTTACCCACACTTATTTGGCAGACATCAAAAGAATGAGTAGCACTTGGCAACAACTGTAAAGAAAGTCCAGGTTGGAGATTTCCAGTTGGCGATATATGCTCCACGAGGGGTAATATGTGTTAATATGTATTATTAGATTAGTGTTACCAAGTAAAAAAAGTAATTTGTATATAAGTAGTAACCAATCTCAAAAGTGAGGAATGGTGAATATTCTGTTTTATGTAAATATTAATAACTATGTCAAATTAACTATTTGAGTAGGTAATGGGGTTAATAAACTAAGTTCGTTTTCGTAATCATTATATTATTAGCTACTTATTTACTAAACATCCTACTCTTATTAGGGACGGTTAACAGATGGGCGTGGCACTACAATTAACTGTAAAGACGCTATATTCATTATGACATCGAATGTTGGAAGTCAAGTTATAGCTGAACATGCGCAACAACTACGATACGTTTCCGGAAATGATGGTTTGTTGTTATCGTTACTTTTTGAACTCATTTATTATCACTGTTTAGTTTGTCATTTAATAGTACAACATATAGTCTAACACAAAAGTCCATCAGCCTAATTTTTCATACTACATATTTACGATGTGATAAAATTAATGAGACTCATTGTAGCACGAATGGAAATATTTTTGTAGCAATTTTGTTAAGAAAGACTAGAGATTGACAATATGTTTCGAAAAGACAATGAAAAGGTATATATGAATGAATACTGGGATTAAAGATCAAGAGGAACACAAAGAGTGAAAAAATTTGAACCATTATGACCGACTTGTCAACCATCAACCCATCAGGGCTAATCAAACATCCAAGGTAATTCAGTTGGTCAATGCATGGAACTATTTCGCTCCTCGTTATTAGTTTAGGGGTTGATGCAGATTAATGTTAAAGCACAATTTTATATGTGGGGGAGAGAAACACATCTTAAATATGTATTATTCAAGACAATTAGAAGACTGCTTTCCCAGCATCTTCATCAAAAAGGACTATTTCGTCTGCGTACTCCATGTCGATTAGTGAGTTCCTAGGATGGAGATCAATCCCTGACAGCTGTCTTTTCCTCGTCAAGGATCACCCTACACGGCACCAGACTCCTTAACAATCATTAGATATTCAAGTCACAGCGTCCATGTCGATCCATATTTCCAAACTCTAGTTAATTCGTGATATAGGACGGTTGGTATTTAACTACACCTTGGTTGGTTTCACAGGTCACGGCTTCTGACTTAGTCTTTTTAGCATCCGTCTTGGTGCTAATTATGAATGGAGACAATTGTTATTTACTTAGGTTATTTTCGAGTTTTCAGTTCATCGTATAAAGCCTTAACAGGTTGTTGTGTTCATAAGATCTCGGTATCCTATACCAAATGTTTGTCTCGATTTTTCTTACCTGTGACACAGACGAGACGGTTGACTACGTATCGAAAATCATGTAAGCTCAATTTTCTCATTCTCTTACTTTACGAGTGCGAAATTTCGAATGTTGTAGATGGCATTTATAGGTTGACAATATACGACAAGAAATGTTTATGTAGCATTATTTTCACATTTCGAATCCAATGTTTATTTTCTTATCTAAATTTACTTCAGAAGCTGACATTGAAATATCTCGAGACTTTAAAGAAAAAGTTATGCGTCCGATATTAAGGGTAAGTAGAGTAGGTAGGTCAGTAACAATGATGACTAATAGACTGTTATCCATTATTTTAGTCTTCTTTTTCATTTATTTTGTGTCAACCATAAGCTTATTTAGATATATTGTTACATAAAACAATGCCTTAAAATCTCATCGCATCTTATGGATAGATCATTGAGTTCGAATATAGGACTGGCACATTTGAATTGGGTTCCAGTAAATAGTCTACTTAAGTATTATGATTCAAAATTGATTACAGTGGCAGATTTGCATTCATTTTTTTGTTTTACTGTAAGTCGTAAACTTATATTCCCTTTATTCTTTTTGAAAAAAACGTTTTGCACTCAGTTTTTCATTGTTGATATGAGCTGTCACAACCAGTACAGCTTTATGCCAGGTCCTGTATTGCTTATAGACAGTTTCATCATAGCTCTTCGATTAAGTGGGACTGACTGAATCAATGATTGTGTTATTCACTGATGCCAGTTTTGTTGTTTTCTTACTTCTGAATTCCTAATTCCGTTCTTTTTTTTGAAAGCTTATATGCGGTTTGCCCGAGTAGTAATAATCGTATCCGCTCACCAGTGATTACGATCCAGGTGCATTTTCAGAAGTCCTGGTGCAAGGCTATTAAATTGTATAGTAAATTAAGTATAAGCTAAGACAGACATCAACGTTGGTAAAATCAAATACTAGCCCTAAATTGACTGAATTCGTGAAGCTTCGACAATATCTTACTTGTTGCAAGATTTAAAGGTTGATAGTTAGCTTTTCTACGTGAGGTCTTGGATACATTGTGATAAGACATTAGTTGTAACGATATATATATATATATATATATATATATATATATATATATATATATATATATATATATATATATATATATATAATGATTCTTCAACCGATGCCATTTTCTTATTACAAAGGATGTAGATCAGACCATTTTTGAGTTTTATTGCTTCGTTAACACTTCCTTTACTGACTATCTAGCCGTTATTGATTCAATGGAACTTTGAGAAAGATGTTTTATATCCTTTTTTTAATTTGGTCGTGTTATTTGATTCGAGATATCAATTTATTATTTTTTTGTTGGAAAATATTTTAATTTCAAACGCAAATGGATGTTCACTTACTACACATTATCATATCTCAGATAGTGATCGATTCACACAACTATTCATTGAATTTTGGACATAAATAGTAGTGAACAAGCAACTAGATTTTATAGTTTAAAAATTCATCTTAATTTACTGTCGCGTAAATTGTTTATCACCGCATAATGCAACGACAGTCAATTACGATTCTTCATGTATTAACTGATATCGAAATCTGATTGATAGTTATGTACCACCGTAGGCCAACCGTTTAAACCATCAACTTTGTAACCTAAATTTTCCTATACTTCAATTAGTACGTCCGTAATTCAAGTATTTTGCAACCGTTAACATTAGTTACATTTTTATATATTTCTAATTGTCATGGATTCACTTGTAATAATCCTAATAATTTGCTATCTAATTTTTTCTATAAATATTACAGAGACATTTTCTTCGTGATGAATTTCTTGGTCGTATTAATGAAATGGTTTACTTTTTACCATTCTCAACATCTGAACTTACCGAACTAGTGAATCGTAGTTTAAAAAGTTGGAGTGAGAAGGTCAGTTTTTCTTCTGCCCTTAGGTTTTAAAAGAATTTAATTCCTGTGAAACAAGAACTAAGTATATATGAAACAACGTCGAAAAATTAATAGAATGAATGATGTTTTTAGCTGAAAAGAATCTGATACTAGATAATTATAATTTCACCAATCTTAAATGTGAAAAATTGACTATTTCGCCTTAAGGGATAAGGCTTTAGAATAACACAGATGGTTGGAATCAATTATTCATGGTTGGCCTGTGTGTGTTAACCAATTAATGACTGATATTTGTTTAAAGATTTATTAAGTTAAACAATTTTCCAGACTGATTTCCTTAAATAAGTCTCTTTAAAATGATTTGTTAGAGGTCACAAGTAAATATGTTTGAAATTCGCAATTGATGTCGGTGATACATTTTTATGGAAAAGTTAACAGCCTACTGTCAATGAGTTTAGATGTATAAAAATAAGAGTTTAAGAAATAAGTTACGAAAAGTAATGGAGGATGTATGAATTTATTATTATATCAGCTGTATTGTGGCAATCACAACATTTCACTTATGCTAGTTTCACTATATCTCTGATTTTCATATATGTGAAATAATAGATGTTTTTAGGTCAAGTTAGGGGATGTTGTAGTTTTAGTGATTTCATTTTTTAGGTGAACTCATATGTGCTACGGCACAAGTTAACTTTAAGAAACTATGTGTAAATCCTATTTACGTCTAGTATCTTGTTGAATTTTTTCACTATGGTCTGTTACACAACGTGCTTGCTAGATTTTATATATGCTTAATTTTATAAACTATCAGTTTTTTTATGTAAAATTTGATATATAACCTAGAATAATTTTTGTTGTAGGCATTGAAAAGGCATTCTCTCACAGTGACATGGAATCGTGAAGTAGTAGATCTTATTGTTGATGGATACGATGTGTATTATGGAGCAAGATCAATTAATTACGAGGTAAGACTGGCAGATTTCATCGCGTTTTTATAGATCATACTACTAAGGATTCTAAATCAATCCTCCATGACTTTTAGATGAGTAGAAGTGTTTGTTTTAGTAATTCCATCGACTTAACCGACCTTGGTACAGATAAAAGTAACTACTTTATTAAATAATTTTACATTGTGGAAACTGTAGTCAATTGTCGTTTTCGATCGATGAATGTAGGTGTGGCCATTGACTTACTACTATGCTATACCAGCTAACTGGAGAGTGAAACGTTTTCCTTATTGTAAAATTTTTCTGCAATACATTAATTGTTAATTTCAAGATAATAACTTCAAATGAGGAGATAAAAACGCCTTCGTTTTTCTGGGAACTACTATATTGTGCAGATAGTCAGATTTGCAATTTCGCTAATAGAAGAATAATGAATACCTTTTTTTCTCATATAATCATTGCTAGACTATTACTACGAATGATATAATTAAACAACAATGTAATAACTTAATGGTTAAGACATTCTAACTTCAACTACCAAGTCGCAGTTTTAAACCCCATTCTGTCTACTTTAGTTTGAGCAACCAGGTAATATTGACTAGCCTTTAAATTTATACTATGGCTGAAAGCCCCAAACACTTGATAAGTAAATATTCGTTAACATCAGGGCGAAACTATAAATCACATTTTTGTCTTTACATATTGAATGATACTTTACATTGGATTTATGTTTGATCAATTTTTTAGATTGAACGTAGGATAATAAGCCTTCTCGCTTTAGCTGATGAACAAGGACATCTAAATCCTGGCAGTCGTGTCAATATCAGTGTTAGTCATAAAAGCGTTAAAGACGAAGCTTGGTCATCGAAAAAATCAAATGAAAACTTGGATCCAACAATATCTTCCCCACCGCGTATAGTACTTAATGTTACAGATGCAAAAGGCAAAATGAATAAAGTTCTTGATTTGACGCAGACCACTATTTCGTGGGCATGAGTTTATTATATATATATATAATTTTTCACCTTTAAACTCTCAGATCTAACAATCGTTTGTTTCATATATTTTCGATCCTAACTGGGCAAATCTTGAGATTCTCATCTTTTACACATACACACACACTCTCTCTCTTTCTATATATATATATATATATATATATATATATATATATATATATATACTATTTTAGGAAACCAATTTTTCGTGCACCATAATGATACTGACTGCCTACTCACACGAAGTTTTTCGGCATGCTACTTCAGGTTCTCTTGAAGAGATTTTCTAAAGCTTGTCAGTATATCCAGTGCATATTGTACACAAATGTTTCATTTTAGTATATACAACAAGATAATTTATGAAAATACGCGGATTCATTTTTTTTGGACATGTGATAATAAATTTTCAGCAATAGGCGCCTCGTACAGTGGATATTTACTTGTCTTTTGTACGTGTTGTGAAACATTGCTTCCTGTTTTTTTAAAGAGATAACTGCTTCTGGCCTTGAATAACGCATATAGTTGTAGTCTTTTTCGACAGGATCACTTACTTTGCTTTTTTGATGTTGGATGTACGGCTGTATGCTTTAAAAACAAGGAGATATAAGTTTTTTGATCTGTAGTGCATGGTCTGACGTGAAAATATGAATTAAGGGCTGGAATAATTACTTAACTGATTACTTTTTAATAGTATAATAAAATCGATATTGTTAAGCTACTGAGGGTAAATATACTATTTTCCCTCTTAATCTACGTTATACCATTGTAATGCCAATATATCTACCACTCATTATTTTAGTGTAAGTCCTCTTAATAAGTTTTCATACAGTTTGCTCCGCATCTCATTAGTATCAGTACGTATTTTTAAATAAATCTTAAACTTAAGTGAGATATTAGTTACTTCTCTTAAAACCGAGTATATCATAGAGTACGAGTAATTTTGGGGGTGTGCTTTAATCATAAAGGTGACAAAACTATGCGGGATGCAGGAATGCTAATTGAATACAAGGTAAGTTGATGCAACAAAAACAATCCTCAATGTTCCAAATATAATTGCTTATTCAAAATATCAACTAATTAAAGTACTAGGTTGCAAGAGAAGAGCCTATGGAGTGCAGCTTTTTCGCGTGCGTTAGTAAGACCAAATACTGCCTCTAAAACTTAACAACATAATATGATAACAATTTTCCAAACTTATAATTTTTTTCAAAATTAGTCATCTTGTATAAATCTTTTACATACTGATTAACAATCTGTCAATAGTTCCAAGGAGCAATCTGACATCTGTTTTGCAAGTAACTAACACTTCTAAGATTAAGGCAGTGATACGCTTATATATCAGTCTGATAGATGTCGTAGTCATGTCTATCTGTACCCCAAAAAAAAAATAATCACCGGGTTGGTTTTAAGAATGCTGTAAGCAGTGTACTTTAGTCCTTTCATTCCATAAATCTTCGCAGTGAAGCCAAAGAAAAATTGGAAATGTACCTATAGCTGGAAGGCTCAAAGTTATGCATCCTTATGTTAACTGGTCTCAGAAGGATATCTGTTGACACATTTTAGATTCATATGAAATTAAATGTATTGCTACATCCGTAGGGGACGATATTCCTGCTTACTAAATATTCTACATTCCCCCTACATCTGATAATAAGATTTTTGAACCAGTTTTAGACAAGTCTCTCTAAAGACTTTTAGGAAAGATCAATAAGACTTATGGCCATGAAATGCGTATACAGTCATGTTGTTTCGGCTTAAAACTATTGGGTCAACGAAACGCTTTACCTGTAGATAGATGTCCAGCAACAACGAAGTTTTTCAACGTCTCACACTCTAGTCTTAAGTTCACAATTCATTCATAACTTTAGCAAACATTGACTTCTATTTTTTTACAAGAGATAAACTTCTATGATTGTTGATCAACAACAAAATCATTTACAAGGAGCATTAGACAATCAAGAACAATAAATACGGGTCTCATTACGAAAATACTGCAAACCATTTATAGTTCCTCAAATTAACATCAGTAGGAAGTGAATTAGATAAAGCATAAAGAATATTTTGCACATTCAGAACTCACTGTACAAACATTGTGAACTTTCAGATTATCGGAGATCATCAGAAGAATGTTCAACAGTATCGTCAAATATTACATGTTGACTTTGTTCATATAATGGAAGATCTGTGGCGTGTGGATGGAAACCCGTCTTTTTACATTTTGACAGGAATGAAATGCCGTGATCAGGAGTTAATGA